TTCTTCTGGGCTTGCCAACTGCCCTTATTAAAATTATCTTGGGGGGCACCTGGGTGGCTCAGTTGGTTAGACCTCTAACGTTGGCTCAGGTCATGATCTCACGGTTCATGTGTTCGAGCCCCGTGTCCAGCTCTGTGCTAACAGCCTGGAGCCTGCTTTGGTTTCTGTCTCCCTTTCTCTCTGCTCCTCCCGTGCTTATTCTCTGTCTCCCCTTCTCTCTCTCAAAAATAAACATTTAAAAAAATAAAACTGTCTTGGAATATTTTAATATAACGTTGAGATTTTGTTTTTTCTTTTTACAAAACTCAAGATTATGATTCAGACCCTCTGAGTCTCTTCTTCTGGGGTTCTATACAGAGAGTAAGGTCATTTACTATGATTTGCCTGTTTTTAATATGGAAGATCTCATTTTTAGAGTTGAAACTTCAGAGGTTTCAAATTTTTGTTGAGGAATCTTAGCCCTATGGTGATATTTTTGATGTAGTTTATGCTTCCAGTCTAATTTTTTGCCTCACAGAAATGAACATTTTAATTAACATTTAATAATCCCAAGCAGAGACATTTTCCAAATACATTTTTTCAGGGAAAAAAAGGTCAGATTTCAGACATATCAAAACAGCAAACAAACTTTTGCATCTGAGAGGAAATCATTAATTGCTTCAAGCAAAATATCTGAATGACTGATTTCAACATCAGTGTCAATATTTTAATATCCTTACTATGGGGATTTCTTTTGAAATCTTGAGAATAGCCCTTAACTTCATCTTACACTGAATCATAACAAGCATAGTATGTGGTTTGAGTAGTAATCCTTTTCTTATTAATTGTCCCGTTACTCAGAACATCTGGAGGGTGAGTCACTGACTCCAGGAGTCTCCATTACCATCTTCCTAAATTTGGTATCAGGTGACAGAAGCCTGGAGGTGCTCTAATAAGACTCCCTCTTAACTATATATGTACATCACCTGGGGATCGTGTCAACTACAGGTGCTCATTCTGTAGGTATGGGGTGGGGCCTGAGAGTTTGCATTTCTAACAAGCACCCAGTAATGCTCCTGGTCTATCTGGACCATACTTTCAGCACCAACAATTTCTAAGCCTCTGTGTGGACCACAGCCTGATTTCAGAAACTTCCTGATATTAAAAGAAGAAGAAAGATAGGAGCTCAATGAGGAGAAATTAAGAAGAAACCTAGGGATAAGAATAAGGTAGTGAAAGGAAAAACAAAGACTTTTGAGGAACAGTGAGGCATTTCCCCCAGACTAACAAGAGTCACAGGGTACCCGCATGTAACATACGACTGGAAAGGAAGGCTATTATTGAATATCTCCTGTACAACCTGTGGTCACATATATTGCTATATGTTTATGTATGTATGTACAGATAGATAATAGAAAAATAGAAACTGGCATGTACTATAAATATCTGGATATATAGAGAGATGTATGCAAATAAAGAAAATAGATAGATGATAGGTGGTTCTGCTTTGTTCCCAATGGGCTTGGGGAGGAAGCTGTACAAGATGCTCCCATATGCATACATTGCTTCAATCCTCATGACAAGTTTTTAAAAACATATACACAGAGAGATAGACATAAAGCTGAGGCTTGGAGTAATTTAAAAAAATACCGCACTAGGAGTATTCGACTTCAGAGCTCCCAAATCCATGCTTTGATCAGGCAAAGAGCCAGATGCAAGTAAAAGAGAGTGGAGAGGACAGGGGCATAAAGAACAGTATTGGAGCCTGGGCTAAGACTGTGCACAAGAAGAAGAAATTAAAGAAGAGGATGTGGCGGACATGTGGATAGGCCCAGAAAGAAAGGGAGAGGAAAATGCAGGACCTGCCAGGGCTGCAGTCCAAGTGGATAATTCCAGTCCTGGTAGCAATTAAGAGGTGACCCATTTGGCAGCGCCTGCCCCTCAGCGGGGAGGGGTTGTTGCAATTCTCTTTGCTGCCAAGTCTGTTTCCACAACCTTTCTGGCCCAGGCTGGGGCAGCCTGGTTCTGTCCAGCATGGAGGACTCAGTGTTCACCTCTCCTCAGTTCCCATCGTACCAAGAGGCGGTCTGTGGGACTCTGTGTGGGAGAGGCTGTGTAGCAGAAACTTGGGTCCCTAAGGGCACTGGTCACTGCCTGCCCTGGGATTCTGAGTCAGGGGTGCTCCATGCTCAGTGTCTTCTTCCTCTTCTGGATCTGCTTTTGACTCCACAGATCCTTTCAAACCTCCTTCTCTGAGATGATTCGTTGAGAAAATCCACTGGTTACTTTCCTCGATGAACCACATGGCAATAAAGGGTAGGGACAAACCCTTATGACCCACGTAAAATTGAGGGAGGGGGAATTATGGTACATATTAGGAGAAAAAATTTGTATTTACTCACCTTCAGTCTCATCTTGTACCACCGGTCCTCTCTCTCTTCTTGCCTTGCAAGGTGTCTTGTACATGGTCAATCCTCAATACATATATATTTTTTTAAATAAATGGGTTGATTAGCGAATACATTAGAAAGAAGAAAAGCATAAACTTAAACTTATAAAAATCATAAGAACCTTGCTTTTATTTTGAAATTTTTGTACTGGGTCAAGTAAGAAAACTGTTATGGACCCAATGGCTGGATAAATGCTTACTTTTGGCTTTGGCTTTGGAGCCAAAAGAGCTGCTTGGGAGAGTGGGACAGAACCCAGGTGGAAGAGGAGGTATGGAGATTATCTGCTTTCTGACTAATGTGCTGGACAGTGTCAGGGAGAAAGGGTGGCTACTCGGAGGCTAATAAACCTTCAATCACGCAATGTATCCCTACGTCTGAGCACAGTGCCTGGCATAGAAAGGATACCCACTTTTAATGAACAAAAGTGACATTCTTACTTTGTCATATGTTCTCCAAACTGCAAGTAACCCTTTGTGATGCCCTCCTTAATGCTGCATTGAAGGTTGCTCTTGCCTGTCCTTCGATGAATGTTTCGATCAAGGGAAAGTAAACATGTTATTTGTCTAGCCCTCGTCAGGCTATTTTAGGCATAACCATCCTAAGTGTGGTTTAGAAGAGGCTGATTTATAATTCTGTTTCACAAGTATTCCCCTGCACATTCACAAAGCCTGTTTTTTTTTTTTTCAAAGTCACTGGAGTTCTCATTTCTTAAATCTAATGTAATTGCTGAAGAGGAGCTTGTTTGAGAAGGAATAAAGAATTGAACTATAGTTTAATATGGATGGGACTGCCAGTATGTTCTTGAGTTATTTTCTGCTGGGGTTCACTTGGCTCCAAGGACAAATGGTAAAAACTTGCATGAAAAAGCGAGCAGCTTATCTCAGTGGACCACAAGAAGTCCCCCCAGGTCATGGGGCCCCAGGAGCTTGGCAAGAGCTGTCTGGCAGAGTTTTCTCTTATGGGATTTGATTATGGGAAACTGGAGAGCTCCTTTCTGGCATATAACAAAATGTAATTGTCTGGCAGTTCCTTGAAACTTCTCAGTGAGAGTTTTATGTAATCAGCCCAGGGATGGCAATTACCTTGGCTTGTATACCAGGACAATATATTGGTAATGGCTATTGGAAACCTATAATGAGAAAAATTCTAAGATCATATTTGGGCTCATTAAGAAAGTGTTGTCATTTTTACTTCAATTTAAAAAAGAAAGAAAGTGTTGTCTTAAATTGGCAATGTTAGCTAAGAGTTTTGGAATGGGGATTGGTGGCATGCCACATATTTAATATCCTTTCTATAAAGCTTTTTTTTTTGTCTTGTAAAAATCTAAGCAATTATATCTAAAAATCCATTTCATTGTCACGTACACTCTGTGAGGTAATCTTCATTTTGTTTTCAGATGAAGAACCTAAAAGTACAAACGTATTATTTCCCCAGGTATTCTACACATGCCTACCTAACTCCAGAGCCCAACCTCCTAACAAACATGTCATTTTCCCTGAGAATTCTGGAGTGCCGTTTAAAGCTGTTATTCCTCAGCCCTTGAGTAAATGAGTGTCTCTCCATCGTCTTACCTAAAATAGGAAAATATAAAACATTAATAAGGTCAATGAGGCTGAACACAAAATACCTACTTTACAACACTGTTTAAGGCTGATTCTTAGGGGCACCTTGGGTAGCTCAGTTGGTTGAGCATCTGACTCTTGATTTTGCTCAGACATGATCTTGCTGTTTATGAGTTTCAGCCCCACATTGTGCTAACTGACAGTATAGAGCCTGTTTGGGATTCTCTATCTCTCTCCCTCTGCCCCTCCCCGGTTCTCTCTCTCTCTCTCTCTCTAAAAATATAGAAACTTTTTTTTTTTAAAGACTGATTCTTAGCCTAAAAATTAATGGGCGCCTGGGTGGTTCAGTCGGTTAAGCGTCCGACTTCAGCTCAGGTCATGATCTCAAGATTCGTGGGTTCAAGCCTCACGTCAGGCTCTGTGCTGACAGCTAGCTCAGAGCCTGGAGCCTGTTTCAGATTCTGTGTCTCCCTCTCTCTCTGATCCTCCCCTGCTCACACTGTCTCTGTCTCTCAGAAATAAATTAAAAACATTTAAAAAAAACCTTTTTAAATTAAAACATGGCATAGTATATGCTACTCTCATCAAGGAAATATGAAATATTTCTGGATCATTATAAGGATCTACCTGAGATCCAACCCAAGTAGAACTATTCTTAGATAAGATTTTTCGCCCCTTGCTATTCTTCATTCTAAAAGTAAATGTGTTAATCATTATGTCCTAATGATATTCTAAATGTAGGTAATTATACTTTGTTTTCATTAAAAGTGTGTTCTTTTAATGGGATGATATCACTACTTATGGAAACGCATTATCACTTTCCCCAAGTATTTATATCTGTAATTAACTGAAAATCATTTGCAAATATGCAAGTTTGAGGGTCCATATAAACACAGTTTGGATTTTACCCAAAGGCAGGGAAAAACAAAAAATCTTCAAATACTCTTTATTGGTGTTAGGAATTGTCAGAATATAATTTGTGTTTTTGCCTGTTCTTTTCCTTTTACAGAAAAACCTGTCATTGCTCAGCCAATATTTGTTTTCACAAAGAGAGAACAAACTTTTAAGGTAAGACCAAGCTACTTTTCTATGTTTGATTTTTACTTTGACCAAGAAATTTATCTTCAAAGAAGCTGGCGATCCTAAATGATATCATTGCTGCCTTAGTTTATGCTCTTGTTCTTTACTGAGCAGAGTAATGCCTCCAGAATATTTATATAGGAGGTTTTTCCTGGCAGCAATTTGGCTGAAATGGGGAGGCCAAAGGCCTTGTCTTGAAGCTATGAATAACATACCATTTTTACCAAAATTATAGGGTTTTTTGGAGTGACTTAGAAAGGGTCAGGACTGAAAGAGGTCAGGAGGCCTGAGACTCCTCGTGGGTGTCCACCACTGACCTAACTTAAAATTGGGAATCAGATAAGTTCTAAACTCTGATGCTTGATCTAAAAGGGATCTTAAGGACCCAATATATCTGCCTTTTCAGCTTCATAACTAAAAGCACCTACTTTGAAAGGCAAATGAACGATTCTTGTGTTTTCTCTTTAGCTTGATTAAGATATTCTTGTTATTCGTTCTCGCTTATGCCAAGTCACTTACCTTACTACTCACAAAGCTAACTAAAGAAAAGCTCAACCCCTAAGCCCTCGTTTAAAAGTCCGTTTCCTGGGCCCCACCCCAGGCCAACCGCTTCAGAATTTTGAGAGTTGGTGTTTCCAAACCTTCATTTTAAACAAGTTCCCGCAAGTACTTCTGCAGTCACTGAAATATAAAACCGCTCTACTCAGCCTTTGCTTCCTCTTGAATACATGCCTAGTAAGTAAAGGTGAGTTGCTTTATCCTGGCCCACCTGAATAGACCTAGCTTTTGAGAATTCTCTTATCAAGTGACAGGGTGGAATTCTTACCTAAAAACAGCAAGTACTCACCTCTCATTGACAGCTTTGTTTCTTCCAGAGACCTGCAGAAGACACTCTGTACGAAGCAGCAGAACATGGTAATGACTTACATCCTTATTTCAAAATCAATCTTCATACAAAGAAAATAGCAGGCAGAAGCATGTTGACATGTGGCAACAACTGTGTAAAATGTAATGGGTTTTCTTGTGTTTAAACATGGAAATAAGTGGCTTTTGTTTTGACAGATGACACGTAGTTCCTGAGAACACTGACTTTAGCCACACTAAACTTCCTTGTTTCTCCATTGCCTGTGTCTCAACCTACCCAAAGCATTCTCTACGATCTCAAAATTCATATGCAGTTTCTTGCTGAAGCCACTTGTTTCTAATTGTGCTTATTAGGATGATATGCCTGTTGCTTTATAATCACCAAGCTGTTACCCTCAGTATGTAAACTTGTGCTTCAGGAGTTAACATTGTTATCAGATGATGATCTGTGTAGGCAAGAGGTAATTCTATTTACCTATCCATATCTTTGCTTTAGTATAATTTGTTATTCAAACAATTTTACCCTTCTCGTTGAATTTCTTGCAGAATCTAATGGTTTTCCAAGAAAGCGTGTACGGTCTTCATCTTTTACTTTGCATACTACACATCCTCAGTCCCAAGGAGGTAGGTATAGACCTGACTATTAGCTGTTCACTATTATGTTTTCTCCGAGTGTGGAATTACTGAGAAATTTTCCAAACGGAAAATGTTTAAAAAGTCTACCCATCAGATGGTCTTTATAATAAATTGCTGTATGAAAATAGCAGTCTATAAAATGGACTATATAGTGAATCACTATTTTAAAAATTCAATTGATCACCATTGGATGAAAGATTGAAAGGACATAAGCCACAATGTCAGCAGTGGTTGTCTTAGGTGATGAGATTACAGGTGATTTGGGGTTTTCTACCCACTCTGTAAACTTTGTTGTGTTTCCAAAGTGTCTGCATTAAGTATGCATTAGCCTTGTAATTAAAGGAAATTGCCATTTCTCCCTAAGTAACCATCTACTTAAAGAAACAGATGTTTGCCTTTAAAAGAACACTGTAAGAACTTCATTGTGTACCATATTCTGAGTAAATCAGTAACTTAGATTGCTCTCTTCCCCACTCAAAGCTCTCCAGTGATCCCTTTTAAAAACGACCGCATTGACCTCTGCTCTGTAATAGAGCTATTTGTGTGTGTGTTTGCTCCCCCACTGTGGGTTCCTAGAGGTCATCTTCATGCCTGATAGAGTGTCTCACACATGCTGAGCACTCCAATATTTATTGGTCCGAACAGAAATTAATTTATAATTCTCACCACAGTCACATTTTATTTCTATTGATAAACATACAAAATCGTTTCTAAATTAGGGATATAGAAATTTTTCTGAAATACCAAAAGTTCAAATAAAAAAAAAAAAACGACACAAAAACCCACCTCCTTACTGACTTCAATTTGCAATTTGCTTCTAGCATCAACCTTGTCCCAGAATCTAATGAGATCATCATCCTTCACTGACCTCCCGACCTTCCCCCCTTCTGGGCCAGGTAATAAACAGCTTCTGGGACCTCAAGCATGACACTCTGGCTTTTCAAAATCCATTCTCTTGATGATGAACTTTCTTACTTGGCTACTACAAAGTACTGATATTTTAGTGGCAAATAAAGTAGAGGCCTTAGCCAAGTATGATTAGAAGAACACCTAATGAATTCCAACTTCACAAATCCTGTTTGTTTTTGGTAGAGAGTTTGAACTTGATGATTTTTTTTTAGGATTTCATGTTTATGATAATATGTTCTATATAAGGAAGCCATAAAAGTAACTTGTTTTATTTCATTTATTATTGTTCATCCATACGGTTCACAATACCAATGGTACTCAAAATATACTGCTATGCTCCAGATTCTTATTCTAAAGTCTATGCTTTAGAGGCATATTCTAAAGCTTGGAATATGATTCCTTTTACACTTTTCACTAATGAAAACATTACTTATTTTTATTTGGAATTTGTAGTGCCTTGCTAAGTAAATCTTGTCATTACAAGATATTTGAGATGTTGGAACATTCTCTACATTAAAATTATGATTTATATTCTTTTTGTGTTTCTTTCTACTGAACAACCTGCTGCGTTTTCCAAGTTAATTTTGTCACTAAGAAATAAGAAAAATACAAACTATTCACTTCCTTTCAACTAATTTTTCTACCTGGGACCCACAGAGTTCTCAAACTAATGAATTTATATTCTTGTTAATAATTCCGAACATGGTTGAGCAACATATATCTCAGATACCTTTCAGATAGATAAGAAATACTTTCTAGCCCATTAGATTCCATTTAAACCTGACTGACAAGTTACAGACATTAAGAGGAATAGGGGTCCTATCCTAGAGAATTTGTTTTAAAAGGAACGGCTTTAAGTATCTGAATAACTGCTGTGATTCATTAGTATCTTAAGTTAGACACACACACAAAGATTAAGTAAAGGAATATCGATATCAGTAAATATCATTCCACTTTATGTTGTGCAGTATGTTGTTGGTGTTGGAATGGAGAAAAATAGTACAACTTGATATGTCCCATTTGTTACTGGTTTTCAATAATAAAGATCAGAAACCGTTTAGTTGAACTTGAATTAGAGAAGCAATTCTACCCCAACATTTATAATATGTATAATACTTAGAAGAATCAATTCTTATTCTTCTTTCATTTCCATTAATCAAATGCTCAAAGGTTGCTGTTTCTGCACTTTGCAACCAAGAAGTGATCTCTTTGAAATTCATAGTAATTCTATATTTGCAGCCACCACCATAGTCTTACGCCACCAACACACTTTATAGAAAAATCACGTAGCTACACAGCCAAGGAAACAACCCAGAAAATTAATAGGCAACCAACGGAATGGGAAAAGATAGTTGCAAATGACATATCAGATAAAGGGTTAATATCCAGAATCTATAAGGAACTCACCAAACTACACGCCCGAAAAACAAACAACCCAGTGAAGAAATGGGCAGAAGATATGAACAGACACTTCTCCAAAGAGGACATCCAGATGGCCAACAGACACATGAAACGATGCTCAGCATCCCTCCTCATCAGGGAAATACAAATCAAAACCACACTGAGATACCACCTCACGCCCGTCAGAGTGGCTAAAATGAGCAAATCAGAGAACTCTAGATGCTGGCGAGGATGTGGAGAAACGGGCACGCTCCTACACTGTTGGTGGGAATGTAAACTGGTACTGCCCCTCTGGAAAACAGTGTGGAGGTTTTAAGGAAACTATCAATAGAACTCCCCTATGACCCAGCAATAGCACTGCTTGGAATTTACCCAAGGGATACAGAAATGCTGATGCATAGGAGCACATGTACCCCAATGTTCATAGCAGCACTCTCCACAATAGCTAAAACATGGAAAGAGCTTAAGTGTCCATCAACAGATGAACGGATCAAGAAGATGTGGTTTATCTATACCATGGAATACTACATGGCAATGAGAAAGAATGAAATCTGGCCATGTGTAGCAACATGGATGGAGCTTGAGGGTGTTATGCTGAGCAAAATAAGTCAGGCAGAGAAGGACAAATATCATATGTTTGCACGTATAGGAGGATTAGGAGGAAATTAACTGAGGAACAAGGGGGAGAAGAAGGGTGGAAATGGTGGGGGAAAGGGAGAGAGGCAAACCATGAGAGACTCTTGAATGCTGACAAAAACTGAGGACTGATGGATGTGGGGGGGAGGGGGGGATGGGCATGGAGGAGGACACTTGTGGGGATGAGCACTGAGTGTTATGTGGAAACTAATTTGACAATAAACTATTTGAAAAAAAAAAAGAAAAGAAAAATCACGTAACATAACAGTCAGCTTCTCTCTGTAGGTGTCACTAGGGTAGAGAAAGGGGCAGAATTTGCTAATAGTTTCATAATATTTTATACAAAATAAACATTAACGCACACAGAGGGATCACTAACGTCAGATTTCATAATATGTACTCATTTAGTACTCATTTTTATGATTCTAGAGAAGACTGCCTATTCCACAGTTACCTAATTTTCACTTATATTTCTGAAAGTAAATAGAACTATGTGGCAAAACTCACAGCCATCACTCATTTTTTAGCCCACCTGCTTTCTCAGCACACTGCCTACAGTTATTAGTGCCAACAGTGACATCTACTGGTAAGGACTGTAAAAACCCAAATTGTGTAGAGCCTGACTCTTAGATTTACATTTTTCTAAATTGTTTTTCTTACAGTGAAGAAAAACAATGTTTTTATGACATCAACTCATGTGCAAAAGAATGTTGATATGAACAGTGCAGAACAAGGTATGTAGTTTATTACAAGAACGTCTAAAATTTTACATTTTACCATTTATATTTTAATTTGTCGTATGTATGTTGGGATATGAAGGTAGGAACAGTGACAAAACATGAAGAAACATTGGGTAAGCCAGGCCCCATGGTCAAAATGATTGGTTATTGGGTAAAATCTAGGCCAAAAGTAAAGCACTAACCAATTCACTGGCTATTTTGACTTTGGTTAGTTAACATTAACCCCTCATTTAATGATGACTTTAGAAAATAATCATTAAATTGGTCAAAAATATGGAGGAAGAAGTATTTCCCTAAAGACATATTGACTCTTGAATTCTGTCCTTTTAAGGTCCTGTGAAACATTCTGAACATGTTCTAAGACCTGCTACTTTGCAGCCACCTCAAGCTCAAGGGTGTGACCAAGCAAGAACAACATTGGGACACGATACCTTGGAATCCTGCAAGATTAAAGACAAGACAAAAAATAAGGTAAGGAAACCTCCGATGGCAAGACTGACATCAATTCTCCATCTTTCATTAGTAGATTGCTGTGGGCCTTACACCCAGTGTTAGGGGCTACCTGACTTTTGTTCTGCTCCTGAAGCCACTGCCAGGCTGCAGAACACCCGGACTATAGACAGCACAAAGCCCTTGGTAACCTTATTCAACTTTGTCTTACTAAATTGGAGAGCAGTTTCTAGGAACTAGTTTTGTGGTCTCCCCTAAGCTTAAAGCTGAGTCCCTCGGGGTGGAAACCTCTGGGGTCCTGTTCCAGTGCACTGATCCCACGTGAGAACAGAGGGAGCATTGAGGTGGCCAGGACCAGGAGGCAGAAGTCAAAAAAAGGAAGAGGGGTTTTCAGTATCTCCAGCTGATCGACATCCTAGTGTGACCAGGAATCCATCCAGACCCATCTTCATGAATAACAGGAGGAGGGAATTGCCTGCACAGGGTAGGGAATTGGGAGGGCTGGGGAAGCTTCTGAAGACAGAGAAGAATTCTCTCTTCCAGTTGTTGTGGGTGGTCGAATCCCTCACTGTGGGCCTTTCTAAGACTGTCATTTTGCTCAAGCCATGCACATACAGATTTGGGAATATTCTGTGGCTGTGTCTCCCAGAAGCCAATACTTGAATGGTACCAAAATTGGTAGGTTGGAATTTGAGAGTAATGCCATCCTTCATTAGTCTCCAGCTAAAGTGTTGAGGGTTGGGGCGCCTGGGTGGCTTAGTCGGTTAAGCATCCGACTTTCGCTTGGGTCATGATCTCGCGGTTCGTGGGTTCGAGCCCCACATCGGGCTCTGTGCTAACTGCCAGCTCAGAGCCTGGAGCCTATTTCAGTCTGTGACTCCTTCTCTCTCTGACCCTCCCCTGCTCATACTGTCTCTCTTTCTCTCTCTCTCCTAGAAATAAATAAATAAAACATTAAAAAAAAAATAAAGTGTTGAGGGTTGGTCACTTGTTTTGTTTTGTTTTGTTTTCCATACTGAACATAAAGACAGTGACACATGGAAACTGAAAATATCAGTTATTTCATCAATGCAATGAAAAAACGTCAGATGGGTAGTAATCATTCCTCTGCCACTAACCATGTTTCCATTCTTGGACAAAGCACCCAATTTCTTTTTATCAGTGAAGTAAGGAGAGTTGAACTTGGTCAGCATTTGACAATATTTTTATAATTCCAAATCTTTTTCTTTGTAAGATATGATTTCATGAGACATATTGTGAATTTTAAAAATCATTTCATCATTTCTGCAGGGTGTATGGTATGAATTTTAAGTAAAACGTGTTTTAAATTTCAAACCAGGGTGCCTGAGTGGCTCAGTCAGTTAAGCCTCTGACATCAGCTCAGGTCATGATCTCACGGTTCATGAGCTCGTGTTCTGCTTTGGAAAAAACATGAGCCCCACTTGGGCGAGCTCTGCCTTTCCCTCTGTCTCTCCTTCCCTCTCTCTCTGCCCCTCGTGGGATTCTCTCTCTCTGCCCCTCTCTCACTTGCACTCTCTCTCAAAAAAATTCAAATCAGTAGATTATTAAAAGTTTTCATTAAAATATAATTAAATATTTCATTAAAATATAACCTAATAATCATTACCATATTACATACAATCTTTTATCCATTTAAGAAGTGATGCATGTTGTTTACCTTGTGTTAAAGTATGTAAAAAAAAAGTATGATGTATTGACTAATTTCTAAAATGTTATATTGGGGCACCTGAGTGGCTCAGTGGATTAAGCCTCTGACTTCAGCTCAGGTCACAATCTTAAAGTTCGTGAGTTCAAGCCCTGTGTCGGGCTCTGTGCTGACAGCTGGAGCCCACTTCAGATTCTGTGTCTCCCTCTCTCTCTGCTCCTCCCCCGCTCATTCTCTGTCTCTAAGAAATAAACATTTAAAAAATTAATAAAATGGTGTATTGCATATGATTTTGGATCAGTATGTACTATAAATTATAGATTAAAATTTTTGTTACATGTCATAAATCAATATTTCTTTGGCATGGTTTATTGAAATTTTGCATTATGTATTTTAAAAATAAATTTATTAGTGTTTTTCTTGCATTTTATTCCTAAATGATAAATAATAAGAGAAATTTTCAGGCTACTGTTTGCAAGCATTTCTTCTTGAATAAATGCATTAAGCATGATGAATAGCACTTTTTCCTTATTAGTGAATAGCTTAACTGGATATGCCCATTATTGAATTTTCTCTGTTGAATGATACCTTTGAAGATTTTAAGACAAGCTATATAAGATGCAATGTAAGAATTCTGACAAAATAATGTAATTTATAGATCTAGTGAAACTTATCTCTAGGTGAATTTCATAGAACTATTGTTTTCATGTTTTTATTAACTTGTATATAAAATCAGCAATTTGTATTCACTCTGTCATTAATCAATGGTCACTTATTATGTATAATTTATTTACATTTATATTTAATATAAATAATATATGTGCACTGTACATATAGTATATGTACTATACAGTAGTACACATACTCATATGTACTATTTTAAGTACATAAGAATAAAAACTACCATTTTGGCTGAGAGATAAATCATCTGAGTGACTGAGTCATGAGGCACTTACTTTGATCTTTGCTAACCAACAACACGTATTCTCTTCATACATATTTCTCAGCTCTCAAATTCTGCTATAAAGGAAAAAATGCTCAAAATCATTTTTATTTTTTAATGTTTTTAAGTCTTTTTTAAAATGTTTTTTTCTTTATTTCTGAGAGAGAGAGACAGCGTGAGCAGGGGAGGGTCAGAGAGAGGGAGATACAGAATCTGAAGCAGGCTCCAGGCTCCGAGCTAGCTGTCAGCACAGAGCCCGATGTGGGGCTCCAACCCACGAACTGTGAGATCATGACCTGAGCCGAAGTCGGACGCTTAGCCAACTGAGCCACCCAGGCGCCCCTCAAAATTATTTTTATTGATTGATATGAAATTGAAGTGGAAATACACACTATCTACCTTTAAAGATATGAACTCCTTGCAACATCTTTGCAAATCTCTGTAGGGGGAAAAGGAGGTGTTTATAAAACATTGGAGACACTATATCAGATAATTTATAGGGCTCCTTCCAGTTCTAAAATTGCTCATACCTGGGGGCACCTGGGTGGTTCAATCAGTTAAGCCTCCAACTTAGACTCAGGTCATGATCTCACAGTTGGTGAGTTTGAGCCCCATATTGGGCTCTCTGTTCTCAGTGTAGAGCCTGCTTCACATCCTCTGTCTCCCTTTCTCTCTGCCCCTCCCCTGCTGGCATGTTTACTCTCTCTCTCTCTCAAAAATAAATAAACATTTAATCAAAAAATTGTTCACACCTTCATTTATACATGTCAGGTAATGCGCATATGTACATACATCAAACCAGTTGATTAAATTACCAGTCAAAAATTTCTAGATGAAGAGATGAATGAGATTTCCTCTAACATTTGGTGGACATGCTGGTAAGATTTGTAGGATGTCTTTAGGATTGAATAGTCCTGAAGGATATATTTGCTAAGCTAGAAATGAGAATTAACTCCATGTGGCTAAAAAGATTAAAGTAACAAAAGGAGGTGGGATTTCTGAATATGATGGCTAAGTATACAGTCTCTGGTATCAGACAGACCCTGGTTCTAAGGTCAGCCCCATTCCTGGTTGCCCAAACCCAGCCCTGTTATTTAAACTCATTAGGTCAGTGTACTCATCTGTAAACCATAAAATGTGGATAATAGACATACAACTTATAGAGAGATGTTGTGAGGAGTAAATGAGATAATGAACATAAAATGTTTAGAGTAGTACTTGAACATAGTAAATTTTCAAAATACTTGACTGTAACTATTGTTTCCTTGTCTGATGCTCCTATTAAGGTAATTTAAAGGAACTTTCTGATGGATTAATTGTCTTTCAGATTTCTGAAGGGAGCTCCTGTTTGCTAAGTGAAAATTTACCCAGTGCCAGAATGTCAGTCTTGCTGACTACTAACCAGAATTGGTTAGGTGCTACATCAGTAGGGTAAGTTAATGCTGAGGACACAGAAAGGATATATTTTATTCTTGCTTTCTTTTATCATTATAATCATTTATGGAAAATAGCTTTCTGATACTGCATAGATAAATTGGCAAGATTCCCGTTTGAGATTTCATAAAGAACACAAATTTAAACTGCTTTTCAAGGGGTGCTTGGGTGGCTTAGTCGGTTAAGCGTCTGACTTTCGTTTGGGTCATGATCTCGCGGTTCGTGGGTTCGAGCCCCGCGTCGGGCCCTGTGCTGACTGCCAGCTCAGAGCCTGGAGCCTGTTTCAGTCTGTGACTCCCTCTCTCTCTGACCCTCCCCTGCTCACGCAGTCTCTCTCTCTCCCCTAGAAATAAATAAAAAATATTTAAAAAAAAAAAACAGCTTTTCAAATAAGATAAAAAGAGAGAGGGAGACATACCATAAGAGGCTCTTAAATACAAGGAAGTTAAAACTGAGGGTTGCTGGAGGGGTGTTGGGTGGGGGGATGGGTTAAATGGGGGATGGGCATTAAGGAGAACACTTGTTGGGATGAGTCCTGGATGTTATATATAAGTGATGAATCATTAAATTCTACTCAGACATCATTATTACACTGTTGTTAACTAAGTTGGATTTAAATAAAATTAAAAAATTTAAAATTTAATGCTTTCCCAATATCTCTAATATATAAAGATTATCCTATTCATATTGGATTATATCCATTTTTTTCACTGATTTGGGTGAGAATATTTCAAAAATGTATAGCTAAATTTATATTTAGTTAGGAATCAATTATCTGGCTGCTAGGCTGCTTTTCTCTGATGTTCTTTTTTTCCCTCTCTTTTTAATTTCTTTGAATATTAAATTATTATTTATTGACATACATCGGCTAGACAACGAAAGCAAGCAGTATAAATGTGCAAAATGAAAGTTAGCATTTCCCGGGATCATCAACCATGAAGGCAGGTTTGATCTGAAAGAAGATTAAGACGAGCCATGGACATAAATGGACTCACATGATTAGGGCCCATGTGGGTCCCACATAGCTCACCTATGTGACTGTATGCACTACAGTGCACACTAGTGATGCAACATGGACCCCAGAGTACATCGGCCTTCAGCTAGAGAGCTGCATATCTTTGAGTTTCTCGTTGTGCAAAACACTTTTAACATTAAAAAAAGAAGAAGAAGAAGAAGAAGTTCGAGGAGGAAAAACCCAAATTAAACAAATGCACACTCAAGTATCACTGACAAGGTGGATTGGCTGTGCCTATGCTCTGGAGGTCTCTGGTGGCTAACAGCATTGACCCCTTGAGGAGGAGAGTAGAAATTAGAGATTTGCAGAGGCTGTGCTGGAAAAGCAAGAAGATAAGGTCTGGGGAGACCCTGGTTGCTCACACAGTCTGAACAGTGATGGGCAGAACACGTGTTTGGACTGGTTTCAACAAGTGCTCTCACAGCCGTCAGATATGTTAAATATTATCCCTGGAAGTACCTATCTCAATGTTTCCTTTATTTCTCAATATCTGCAGATGAATAAGAGTTAGCAGATGTTTTATGCTTTACATAAATCTATTAAACACTTGATTATTTCATGTGTAAGGTTTAACATGGCTTATCCATATATTTTAAATAGCAAATGCTTATTTCTTTTCCTTAGATGTCAACCAAACGAAGATAAATATTCTTTTAAAAGCTGCAGTTCTGATTTCGTGTTTGGAGAAAACATGGTAGAAAGAGTTTTGGTAAGAATTTGGCAAAGGTTTCTATTATATAAAAAGCTATCACTTCAAGTTTCTGGAGGCAGATTAATTAAAACAATGTTAAACTGGAGCATACTTTAACTCCTGAGTTCAAAGCCACATTTTCTTTCTTTAATGAAAGGTTCCCCTGGGAAGCAAGTTCTAGTTGTTAGAATAGTAGCCAGGAACCCACAGAGGAAGGGGATTGTGTAATTATAATATTATTACTGATGAGAAATATTAAATAGTCCTTTCACGTGTATTAAACTGAAGGTACACAAGGAAATCCCAGAATCATCTGCAATAGACAAGCTTAACTGGTAATGATATTTTAATATAGGTTTTCGATAGCCTTTTTCATAACAAGATGCATTTAAAATCATTTACTTTTTTTTTCTTATTAACTACAATCCTCCCCTTAGAGCTTTTATAGTGAAAAACATCCTTATAACTTTTTTTTTTTTTTTTGCTAGCTTTAAGAGGAAAATCATAGTGCTTTAACTTGCCTAGGGAAACATCCTTGCCTTATTTAATATGGAGCATCCTGCTCCAAGAGGCCATTGCTGCCCCCCCCCATAGAGAATGTTTGTAAAGCAGAACATAATCTATAGCAGGGAAGGACACAGCAAAGTGAGGGCTGTGCACCTGGTCCATCATATCTTCATACTTTTCGCCAGACCAGGGTCTTGGTTGACATAGGCCAAGGTAGCTAGCTTGTCTTGTGGCTACTAGTTCTATGGAGGAAGCTGCAAAGGTTTTAAAACCTGTGTAAAGGCTCAGAATAACAAAAGGAGCAACTCATGAGGTCAGTTTATTTTATTCTAAGTTTCTTAGGGCTTTCACAAATCAATCACTTTTAAGACCTAGTTTTGCTACACCTGCCTCAGGCTAAAACCCAATCCCAAGAGTAATATCATAGTTTTTCAGCCTAGAGGCATCCTCCTTCACTCTCAAAATTAAGGTCAACTCCACAATTCTAGAGCTATTGACCCACCTCTTGGATATGAACCAGAAAGGACTAACTTTTAGAGGGAAGTCCCGAGCAATACATTCAAGCACATTTCTTCCAATTCATTTATTCCCAAATTTGGCACTAGATTAGTCACAGCTTCTGTAAGATGTCACAGACACAATTAAAATACTTTCCAAGCCCTCATAGGATCAAGTTTAACATTCAGTTCAATTTAACAAACATGTTTTATATTCTCATGATATGTAAAGCACTGGCAATGGTCTCAAGTTTGGCTGCACGAACTTCTAAAGGATTTCTTATGTCAGGGCATCTACATAAACAGATTAGATCAGAGTCTCTGTGGGTGAGGCTAGGTATCAGGTGATTTGAATGTACAACCAGGATTGAAAAGCACCTGTGAAAGTGGTTATGCAAAGCTAAAGGAGCCACTGTGCTCTCAAGGTGTTTATAATCTAAGGAGAGACAGAGAGACCCCTGAACAAATGAACTACAGTTGGGATTGTAAATTTGGTTTGGGGAGGTGATTGTGTACATTTCCTGTGGACACTTTAAATCTGGCTTGTGAAGGAAACTGTACTTCCTATCTCTTTAAGTTGATAACATCTGAGGATAGCAGGAGCTATAGAGATTACTTGTATTTGTCCCCTAGTTAATCCTATAATCCTGTGGCCTTGTGATTTGGTAGTCAAATTGCCTTCCTGACTTGTTTGCTATGTGCTTTTCAAGGGAGTCATTAAACTTTCTGTGCCTTAGTGTTTATTTTCTTCAAATGGAAATAATCACATCCATCTTGGGTGCCTGGGTGGCTCAGTCGGTTAAGCGTCCAACTTTGGCTGACGTCTTGATCTCGCAGTTTGTGAGTTTGAGCCCCACGGCAGGCTTTGTGCTGACAGCTCAGAGCCTGGACACTGCTTTGATTCTGTGTCTCCCTCTCTCTCTCACCCCTGTCTCTCTTTCTCTTAAAAATAAATACACATTAAAAATTTTTTTAAAAATAATCACATCCATCTCTACCGATTTTAACAGAATATCTTAATGTCCAGTTAAATAATGTGGAAGAATTTTGAGTTCATAAAGGAAAAGATATAAATCTAACTTCCAAACTACTGTTCCAATTCCCCCTGTTCTGCAGGGGGCTCTCCAATATCAGAAATGGCACGGCAATTACTCAGTCTTTTTTCACAGGCCCTGATTACAGCACGTGTGCAACCTTAAAAGCACTTGTTGGCAGAAATTATCTTGGAGAGGGGCACCTGGGTGGCTCAGTTGGTTGAGGATCCAACTTTGGCTCAAGTCATGATCTCACCGTTGGGGAGTTTGAGCCCCATATTGGGCTCTCTGTTCTCAGTGCAGAGCCTGCTTCACATCCTCTGTCTCCCTCTCTCTCTGCCCCTCCGCTGCTCACACTCTCTCTCTCAAAAATAAATAAATCCTTTAAAAAAAGAATATCCTTAAAAAATTGTCTTGGGAGAAAAATTAAGATTCTTTCTATAAAGATGAGCTCCGAGACAGCGAGTGGGTCTCGACAACATTTATTTTGTTTGTTCGTTTGAAGTGGGCATAAAGTGAAATGCTGGGAATACTACTGAAATACCTTGAAACAGAAATAAGGGACACCTGGTGGCTCAGTTGGTTAAGCGTCCAACTTTGGCTCAAGTCGTGATCTCATAGTTCATGAGTTCTAGCCCCACATCGGGCTCTCTGCTGTCAGCACAGAGCCTTCTTTCTGTCCCTTCTGTCCCCCTCTCTCTCTCTCTCTCTGCCCCTCCCCTGCTCTTTCTCTCTGTCTCTCAAAAATAAATAAGTAAACATTTAAAAAAAAAAAAAAAAGAAGTGATAGTTGCATCTCCTTCCAGGCATCAGGTTAGTCTGGTGGTAGCGTGGAATAGCTGCTACCTCCTTCTGGGTGTCTAAACCCCCCTTAGTCCCTGGAACTAGACCCCACCCGAAGTAGTCTGGTGGTAACTCGATTACACTTACTGAGGGTCAGAACCAACGTCCTCTGGTGATAGGAAGGATTTCTCTGTTCAGCACATAGGGAGTCCAAAACAAAAACATAGCAGTTGAGTTCGTTTGCTGTGTTGAAGTAGAACAAAGGTATCTTTTGGCTTACTGCAGATACATAGGGATACAATTAAGTAATGCATCTTTTTCCTTCACTTAGGATACTCAACATCTCACCGAATCTCAACCTGAAAATGATTCATATACCGAGGAACAACCATTCAAATCCACACTAGAATTTCCTGTCAACTCTCCAAATTCAAGTAAGAATTATTTCATTTGTAAAAAGTTTGATTCAACTAGTATATTTCCTGTGTTTCCATGTCATCTGTTCAATATCTATAAAATACAAAAACAGTCATACAATGCTTTAAAACTTTTTGGCAAAGATTAAATTATGCAAAATATTGTTGTATGATACATGACCTTAAAAAATTTTTTTTTACTTAAGGATATGAGGAATCATTAAAGGGATTTATCTAAACTCAAGTAGTTTCATATTTTTGGAAACACTCATTGTTATAAAAAGCTAAGGAGATATGTATATTAATGGGGACAATACAGAGCTTTTACAGTAGAGAAAATGAAGTCTTTTGCCCTATTTTTTCTTACAAACAGACTCTATTAAAAATATATCCCTAATTGAATCAGCTGCTGCTTTCTCTTCTAAGCCATCACCCAAATGCTTGCTGGAGAAAATTGATGTTATAACAGGGGAGGAAGCTGAACATAATGTGTTGAAGGTCTGTATATCACACATGGTCTGTATACCGCACATTTCTCTTCCTGGCAGCACTTACATAGATGAAACCAGTTTCTATCAGCAGGAACACCTATAAAAATAAAGGCAGAAGTATAGTTTTCATGAAGACTGAGCTGCTTAACTAAACATGCTGGACACTTCCAAAGATCAAGCCAATATTTTGTTGTATTTTTATGTTTGTATGTGTAATTTTCAGGAAAATGTGTTACAGGATTTACAACCATTGACATTAATCTCTTAGAAAGAAGACAGCCAAAAACCCTGTCTTAATATAACTTCAGACCTAGGTTTTATACTTTACATGCCTGCTTTAATAATCAGTGCTATCATCATATGATTTAAAAGTTCTACTTACACTGGACATTTTTAAATGATGATTTAGATTAATAGATTTCAGTCCAAGAAAATTTTAAAAATTCTGGTTTTCTTTGAAAAGTTCTTTTGAATGAGTTTTGAATTTTGTAGAAAGCAAGAATTTCACAGATGTAGTATGTAGCATCACACATAGGATTTGAATGTTGAGTGGCATAGCTATTAGTCTAGGCACATGAAATGTAATTATGACTTGGTAGTCATTTTTCAACAAGGTGTGGATTTATCTTTCTTTTTATCCATCTGCTTTTACCCCCAAATCTCTCCATATCTCTTCTCTTCTCCCATGGTTTACTGATACATTTCCTATACAAGTGTGCCTCAAAGCATAATTCTCAGATCGGGCTTAACCACAATTAATTGAAGTAACTGCTAGCGGTGAGGCCCTAGCATGCTATATTTTTAACAAGTCATGTATGATTCTTTAACACAGTAATATTTAATGCTGGTAAGGATTAAGTTATAGTACGGTACTCCATGGTACCACATCCTAGTTCTGATGCTGTGTTCTTTGAAAATTTTTAGGCATGCAAATAGTTGCACTATTCCTTTACTTACAAATAAGTCACTTAACTCAAATAACATTCAATTTCATTTAAAACTTGGTACATATACATATACTGTTAAGTGGAAAAGCAAGATGCAGAAAGTATGTATTATATTCTACTGTTTATAGAAAAAATAGGGGACATAGGTACTGGCATGTATATAAATACAAATATCTCTGGAAGGATAAACAAAATATTAGCAATAGTGATTAGCAGGGAGTAGAAATCAACAGGTGAAGAACGAAGGTTGGGAAGGACTTTTCATTTTGTATATCTTTTTGCTTTTTGATATTTTAATTATTCAAAAATTGTATGTTTTAAAAGTTGAATAAATTTTTTAAGCTGGTTTACATCATTAACCAAGGTTATTCTGGTAAAATCAGACAAATAAAAGTGTTGTAGCATAGAAAGAAATCACTTTAAAATAAATTTTTTCTATATTTGACATTTTAAAAAATTGTCCTTTAGATCAACTGCAAGCTTTTTATATTCAACAAAACAACACAATCCTGGATTGAAAGGGGCAGAGGAGCTTTGAGACTGAATGATACAGCAAGCAGTGACTGTGGAACATTCCAGTCAAGACTAAGTAAGGAATCATTTTGTAAAGCAACCCACTATTTCTCAGGGTAAAATTTCCAATAAGTACGTATCATTTTCTGGAGATGTTTATAAAATAGTCAACAAATCAGACTGTTGAAAACAATATTGTTTCCAATGTGCCAGAGGAACTTCCTGTTTAGAGCAGGCTCTGATGTCAGATTACACAGGTTCTCTTCTGCCTCTATCACCGACTAATTGGTGACCTTGGACAAGTTACTTAATCTCTCCATGCCCTAGTTACATCAGTTTAAAATGGGGATAATAGTACTCCGTGACTTATTGAGCAACTGTGAGAATTCAGCAAGATAATGCACCTATGACATAGCCCAGCACACACCTAAATAGTAATCTCAGTATTATTTAAAGCAATATGATGATATTTTTGAGGGCAAAATAATTTTTCCTAAAGAGGATATTTGCCGTATATTTTATTAGTGGTATTCTAAACATGCTGTGTGGGTTGAGAGGAAGGTGTCAGTTTCCAAGGAAATAAAGGTGTGTGGTTATTGAATCCTGTGTGTGTTTACTGACATCCATAGTGATGGTAAGAATCTGGAGTCAGTCAAACTGAGAGGCTCTCAAAGTTTTTGGCATCTGAAAAGACACACTGGGCATTGTTCAGAGGCCCAAACTGAAAGTGAGCAGAGGCAGAGATCTGGGAGGGGTGGGTAGATTTACTGGTCAACATTGGGCAATCAAAGCTGTGGAAGGAACCACTGGAAGAAGTGGTATCCACGTATATGGATGTTTATTGAGTTTCAGATATCAAGCTCACAAAACCAGTCAGGAATAGAATTCAGACTGCAACAATAGGAATCATGTTTTCAGTTCTATAACTAGCAAACAGGTTTCTAAATAACCCAACCAAGCATTATTCCCACGGCAGGTGCTAGTTGTTTTCTACTCTTGTTCAACTCCACTCTTTCCACTGCCTGCCAAAATTTGTGATGCATGGTGTTTGCACTGCTGTGTGACCTGATTTTACTTTTTACATAGTATATACCATGCCCACCTTTCTATATCAGTAATGATCCTTCTTCAGTACTCTTAATGGATCCATAATATTATTTTGAAGAGCCAAGTCATCATTTATTTAGCTAATTCCATTTTTTGAATGCTTAAAGATTTTGCTTCTGTTTTCTCCATTTTGGATATTCTTCAGACCACTAGGTTCTCACAGGAATTCTAAAATTTTAATCATTTTTTAATATTATAGTAAAAAAAATAATTCCAGCTTTTAAGCTAAAAACAGTATTCCAACATAATAAGCCAATTTCAAAACCAGCTTACAAGTAAGCTTCACTTTCAAATATGGCCAAGGAATCAACTATTCTGTAGTCTTATATATTCACCTTCCTATTTTAGTTATGCGGAATCAAGGCAGCCTGAGGCTGATTCTCAATAGCAAACTCTGGGCTCAAATGGAGATTCAAAGAGCAAACCACAAAAATTTACGAATAACAGCTACTGATTTAGAAGACTATAACATCAAAGTGTTTTTAATTCAGGTAAGTAACAAATTTCAGTGATAGAGGATTATCCTACTATATTTATAGATCTCTGCAATTGCTAATTTTTTTTCACTGTATTATAATAACTTGCACCACTGGCAAAAAAAATTAAATAAATCAGCCACTTATTTTGGTTTACAGTTTAATAGGAAACCTAAATTTTAAATGAAACTTAGATTAGCACCAAAATCTATAGTAATCAATTGGCATGTATCCCAAGACATTTGTATTGATATATGCTTCAAACCTTCACATTTTTTGCCATTGAAATTATGTCAACAATCTTATAAAGTGACCAAAGGGACCATTGTCAAGATTGGCTCCTAGGAGTCCAGGGGAACACACAGCCCCGTGCTTACACTGAATGCTGAAACTGAGAAGGCTTTGAGATCACTGGAAAGGAACCTCTGAGAAATGGAAAAACACAGGGCTAGTAAGTTAAAACAACCAGTCCAACAGCAAATTCCAATTCTGGACATGAGTCAGTCACCAAGGTAACAAGATGGGAGCATAGCTTTAGCGCTTCCTGGCAGCAGGAATGCTTGACCTCAAATACAAAATCCAGGCACAAGAGAGAGAGAGAGCTGGTAGGGATCAGGCTAGAAAAAAAAAAGCTAGGTTTCCCACATGAACTGAGACCCAGAAGACTGGAGAAGACTGTGTACTTATGTGACTCAGGCAGAAAGTAACAATGCAAATAAATAAACTTCAATATAGTAATCAAAAAATGGCAAATGCCCAGTGATGAAAAACCCAAAGTTGTATTAACTTTATTAACCAGTAAGTGCACTGTTATGTGTAAGTGATATTGAGTATTAAGATGTTAGAGTAAGATAATGCCCAAACCCTGTTCACCATTTAGGGAGACAATACTTGATACGCTGCCAGGCTGGATCCCTTGCTTTGAGTGAGCAGAGCAGCCTGCTGCCGCGGACACTGAGACTGAGACCATTAGTTATGATGCGATTCTGCTGCTCAATGTCTGACCTTCACTGACTGTAAATTGTAGGCTGTTTACTAAATAAGCTAAATTTTGTTTGCTAAATGCAGATAAAAATCACCCCACATTCAATTCCCAGAGATAGTCACTATTAACATTTTTGTCATGTATGTGTGTACACATACGTATATAGTGTGCCAACCGTATGATCTTCAGGCAGGTTATGTGGATTATATAACTTGATTTTACCAGTCTGCCCAGTAAAGATAATAACAATACACTTTATAAAAAGCTTGGGTAGATTAGCTAGCTAATACTTGATTATGAAATACACATATGTAACCTTTTCACTCATCAATGAAAATGAGTGTTTTCATGTCATTAAACAGTAGTCCATTCTTCAAAAACTTTTTTTAACAGGTGAAAAGAATTATATTCTGTACCATAATTTATTCCATTAATCCTGCTTTGTTACATGCTTATGTAATTTGCTGTCTTCCACTATTATAAATTCTACAAGAAAGATGCAAGGAATTCTCTTTGTACACGTGTGTTAATTTTCTTGGAAAAAGGCTTCTCTTGGCCAATTTCCCTTCAAAAAGACTGAACCAGTTTTCATTCTCGCCAGCATTTTCTTATGGTACTTCCTGGGAATTATAATTTTTTAAGCACTGAAAATTTGTTATTTGAAAAATATGTTATTGTGATTTTACTTTTAACTTCTTCTGAATTTTTTGAATGAATATATCTGAATGAATTTAGCCAAAGGCAATATATTGACTAGTGAAAGGCATATTTAAATTTTAATGTTAGAAAGTCATGGTGGTAGAATAGCATTTATATTTTAAGTACTTTCAATATTTATTAACATACTAAAGAAAAATGACATCTTTGCACATAATGTACAACATTAAATCAGTCAAGAGTCAATATTTATTTACTTAACACCCTCTATAGATTATTTAGCACAATATGAGAAACAAAAATATTTAATTTAGAGTTATTTTTTGCCACAAAGTAATTAAAGGAACTTAAGAACATGCAAATGAAAAAAATATAATTGAAGACCATTCTCCCAAACAGTTGGTATGTAGTTTGTTCTTGCTTTGAAAAGTTTGATAGTTTTCTGGAGGGTTAGCAAAGAGAATAATTTACTGACATCCTCCTTGATATTGTGAAAAGATACAAAAATGTAAACCACTGCCATGTTACCTTAAAAGAGCACTGACTCTGATGACAAAGATCTGGGATTCAAGCCCAGCGATTTGCTGACTTGCTATGTAAATGCAGGCAAGTCATTGTACCTTTCTGAGCCATATCTCCTCATCTGTAAAGGGACATGGGAAGTAAGCATAAGTTGAATACTTATGCTAAGTGCTTTTGCTAATATAAACAGAATAAATAACTAACTCATGGTTTTATAGTTAAGGATTGAATAAAAAAAAACAATGTAGTAACCATAAATGTTATACAAATGTGATTGTTACCATCATTTGTAATATTAACAGCAACCACTAAAAACAGCATAGAAAAGTGCTGAAAGCAAAGACTTATGATGTGTTTATGATACAATATCTAAGGGTGGCTCGGTGGTGCAATGGACAGTGCACTGACTTCTAGATGCGGTAGTATAGACTGCTCTCATGGCTCTGCTTTTTCCACAGAGCTGCGAGGCTTATTGGGATGTCTAAACAAAGTGATGTAAAGGAAGTGGGGGTCTTTTATTCACCCAATCCTACAATCTTCTATGGTATATAATAGTGGATGAGGGATAGTCTTGAATTCAAGTAGAAATTTTAAATCATAAAATTTCATTTCTCAGTTTAAAATGCACAAATGGGGACCTGTTATAAAATTATTCACTTTTGGATTCAATTTGGTTCAAGACGAATGGCTTTTTACCCTTACTTGTCAGGGTTATTTATATCCTAGTTTCATGCCATATAATTCCTTCCTTACTAATAGTGAAAGATTAAAACATCTCTAAAACGTGACTATTATTAAATAATGTATATTCTTTTCTTAAAAAATATTTTTATTTCTTTCTAGGAGAGAGAGAGAGAGACAGCGTGAGCAGGGGAGGGTCAGAGAGAGAGAGGGAGATACAGATTCCAAAATAGACTCCAGGCTCCGAGCTGGCAGTCAGCACAGAGCCCGACGCGGGGCTCGAACCCACGAACCGCGAGATCATGACCTAAGCGAAAGTCGGACGCTTAACCGACTAAGCCACCCAGGCGCCCCAAGAAATGCCCATTCTTATCCTGTACCGTCTTACTCAGTTCTCGCCACCACTTTACAGCACAGGTATTATTTCCTTTAGCTGATGCGGGGAAACCGAGGCATGGAGAATTTAAGTAACTTGCTCAGAATCCTGGTTAATGAGAAGGCAAGATGACGCCGGGTCATTATATACACCCCATCTGTTCCCCGGCCTCCGTCCAGTCTTAAATAGGACCGCAGTGAAGGGGCCATGAGGCGCTGACCCCCTGCGGTGACGNACAGAGCCCGACGCGGGGCTCGAACCCACGAACCGCGAGATCATGACCTAAGCGAAAGTCGGACGCTTAACCGACTAAGCCACCCAGGCGCCCCAAATTATGTATATTCTTAACAACTTAATTTTCCTCACGCAGGCCAGTGCCAAAGATACAGGATATCTGTATGCAGCAATACATCATCGGCTCGTTGCACTTCGAAGCTTTGATAAACAGAAAGATGTAAATCAAGCTGAAAGCCAATCAGAAACAATCCTCCAACAATTAAGCTGTGAAAGCTGTGATGAGGATGAGGATGATTTCATCCAAGCAAGTAAGAATAGATCAGGTAAATAACTTTTCTTTTGTTAGGTCAAAGGTTTAAGAAAGAAATCTTATGCACAATCCTAATATATGAAATAGTTTGTTTTTTTTTAAGTGGAACTGATGTATTCAATGTGAATGAGGGGGTGCCTGTGTGGCTCAGTCGATTGAGCATTGGCTCTCAATTTCATCTCAGGTCATGATCCCAGGGTCATGGATCAAACCCTGCGTTGGGATCTGTGCTGAGTGTACAGCCTGCTCGGGATTCTCTTTCTCTTTCTCTCTCTCTGTCTCTCTCTCTCTCTCTCTCTCTCCCCCTCCCTCCCTTTTTCCCCTCTCTCTCTCTCACCCTCCACCCCTCTTCCATGCTCTCTCTGTAAAATAATAAAATAAAATAAATAATTTAAAAAATTTATATAAGAAAATAAAGTGGATGGGAATTAGAGTCCTAGCTTTGGATCAGAGGAGTGGGTTTGAAAGTCGCTTTCTTCTATATGTGGCCTCCATTAGGATTTTATCAAAAGTCATCCTCATTTTGATGTCTAGATGTCACTTGTGCCTAAATTTAATAAAAATACCATAAAGTATTACACTGATACGCTAACACTAACCATTTATTCATATTTCTCTTTACCTGTTCTCATTTTCCTATTATTGGCTATAGTAGAAGAAATTATAAATACGTCATAAATGTAATAAACACATTACAGTGGCTCCATCAGGCAAATCTGGCTTGAAACACTGAAACTCCTGTTTATCTCCTTTTTGGAATTTGCTTTATTCTCAAGCAGCTTTTTTGTGTAGGCCAAAAAGTGCAATTTTTTTTCTTGTTGTTTCTGTGTCAGGATTCATGAACTGAGCAAGGTTAAAGTAGAACTAGTAGTTATCAGATTTTTAGGTTTCAGTGCTTGTCTGATGAGTAGATTTAAAACAAAAACTTCTGATTATTTTTGGAGAAAAAGATTGTGTGGGAAATAATAAGTCCAGCTTTGTTATATAAATGGAGCCAAGTACTTTCAATAATAGTTTCATTTAGGCCTGAATTCTGTTCTACAGAGAACTGAGTAACATACTTACAAAGATAGTGTGTTAGCAAGCATTTTTCCAACTTTTAATTATTTTAAAGCTTAAAGGTAACTTAATCATACATAATATAAGAATCTATCGAAGCACGTGTACAACACTTGATGAAATATTTTCCTTTGCCTAATACTAAAAATGTAATAAAAATGTACAAAATAACAGATCAGGGGGCACCTGGGTGGCTCAGTTGGTTAAGCATCCAACTGGCTCAGGTCGTGATCTCACAGTTCATGAGTTCGAGCCCTGTGTTGGGCTCTGTGCTGACAGCTCAGAGCCCAGAGCCTGCTTCAGATTCTGAGTTCCCCTCCCTCTCTGCCTTTCCCCTGCTCATGCTCTCTCTCTCTCTCAATAATAAACTTTTTTAAAAAATTAGAAAAATACATGCAGATCGGGAATATAAATTGCTTGATTCAGTGAGCCAGAGAACTAAGTGAATATGGCTTTTCTTGTCACTATTAAACAAATAGTCTCTTATTCTTCAAAATGTGTGAAATGTATAAATAAAATCATCTTTTATAATGTTTATATTGTCAGTAATAGGGTCTATTGGAAAATGAATTGGTGTCTGTTAGGAATGTTAACATGAAATAAGAATTAAATGGCAAAATTCTCTCATCAACAAAAGTCACATTTATGAAATATATATTTTATTGTATTCCATTTTAGGAAAGAGTAATATACAACTATCTTCATACAAAATTAGGAACAATGGAAATAATGGAAAAGAAATGTCAACCATATGAACCCCTCTTCCTTTGCCATTTTCCCCTTTTCACTTAGTACTTTCTTCAGGAGGTGATGCATACAAATGTTAAACTGTTATGAAAGCAATAAAAAGTCTATAATTTTTTAAACTTTGTTGCCCATGAATTAAGGGAGGGTTTAGTTATCTGAAATATCATGTTTAAAATTAGCAACATTTTGGGGCGCCTGGGTGGCTCAGTCGGTTAAGCGTCCAACTTCAGCTCAGGTCATGATCTCACAGTTTGTGTGTTCGAGCCACGCATCAGGCTCTGTGCTAACAGCCAGCTCAGAGCCTGGAGCCTGTTTTGGATTCTGTGTCTCCCTCTCTCTGACCCTCCCCTGCTCATGCTGTCTCTCTCTCTCAGAAATAAATAAAACATTAAAAAATAAATAAAAAATAAAGTAGCAACATTTCCAAATGTTGTGTATAAAATATAAATTGTATATTTTGCATTTCCTCACCTGTAAGCATATTCATACATATTCATGTTCAGTTGTGTTCAATATTAAATTCAATCTGAATGTAACATTTTCTAATATTTTAAATTTATACCACAGATCCTTCTAGGTGGACCCACAGACAGTCGGTTGCCTGTTCATGAGCACTATCCACTGCAAATGTGACAACATCTACAAAAAGGATTGGTCACCTTACTTAAAATACTAAACCATCTTAACTAAATGAGAAGATCCTATTCATCCCTTGAAGAATTTTTATAGCAAAGTTCAAAAAATATAATTTCTTGGAATTAAAAATTTTCCCTTATGTAGTCTAATAATTGCAAAGTTTTACATTTTGATTATTGAGGAGAAAATGACTGAATTTAGGAAATGCATGGATTTAGGAAGTTCAAAATTTATCATTTTTGAAGAAGTTAATTTAGATAGAATTTGATAACTAATTTGGACTTTTCATCACATTGGTGGATATCATAGTTAAAATAAGCTGCTGGATTTGATAAATATCTAACTAAGATATTTATTTTTTTAGTCATACATTGGTCATAAAACAAACATTTTAAAGATTTCCAGTCATTTCTAACAAAATACTGTAACGGCATGCTAACATTTGATTAAGTCATGTTTCTCGTCTGGGAAGTGTATATTTTCATTTAGCCTTTGGATTTACTAATACTATAAGATTATATATTCCTGGTATGAATTTCTTTAAATTTAGTATTGTTCTTGGATCAGTACCATTATACCTTGTATATACTTGACTCCAGGTCAGCATCCAATAGTTGTCCAAGGGATGAACAAAATACATTACTTTTGTAACAGTAAGTATACAAAAAGTAAAATATGTTAACTTGTTCTCTGCTTTATGTAATTAAATTGTCATTAATATTTTATAGGTGTAGCTGTATAGAGACCATACATATAGCCAAATAAATCTTTTCTTTTTAAAGAAAGGTTTATTTACTGGGGCACCTGGGTGGCTCAGTGGGTTAAACATCTGACTCTTGATCCCGGCTCGTGATCTCATGGTTTGTGAGTTTGAGCCCCGTGTCGAGCTGTCTGCTGTCAGCACAGAGCCTAGTTCAGAATCTTTGCCCCCACCCCCATCTCTCCCTTTCCCCCCTCAAAAAAAACCCCAAATATTTATTTAATAATACACAAAATTTGTTTAAATAAATTATTAATTTCAAATAAATGCATACTTATTTTTGAAGGGGAGAGAGCATGAACAGAGGAGGGGCAGAGAGAGAGGGAAAGAGAGAATTCCAAACAGGCTCTGCACTGTGAGCACAGAGCCTGACACAGTGCTCGAGCTCATCAACTGGGAGGTCATGACCTGAGCCGAAACCAAGAGTCTGATGCTCTACTGGGGCTCAACTAGGACCACCCAGGCCCCTCCTAAATGGTACCATAATAATGGTAGACTGTAATAATTTTAACAGTCATGCAACAGAGTTTTGATGCTCCTCTTTTGAGATTTGTCTCAGAGACACTTCAGTGGGTTACACACAAAAAAGTAGTCTCATTGCCTGTAGCCATACTTCATTTTTCAGTCAAGTTTGATCATCCCATGACTTCAAAATGACTTTTGATTAATGGCTCCTAAATATTCCCTTGTTAGAGGCATCTTCTTCTTCTCGGGCTGCCATGACAAAATACCACAGTCTGTGTGGCAACAGAAGATATTTCTTTCTCATAGTTCTAGAGTCTGAGAAGTCGAAGATCAAAGGGTCAACAAAATAGGTTTCATTCTGAGGCCTCTGCTCTTGGTTGTAGCCCACTATCATTTGCCTGTGTGCTCACAGGATCTCTTTGTGGGACACAGGCAGAGAGAGAGCAAACTCTCAGGTGTCTCTTCCTATACACCTTCCCTCATAAACTTGTCTAACCGTAATTATCCCCCAAGGCCTCATCTCCAAATTCCATCACCCTGGGTGCCAGGGCTTCGACATAGACCTTTGAGCGAGAACATAAACATTCAGTCCATAACTAGGGGATAAGATTTACAATTCCAAAATGATTTCTAAAAGGTTTTTGAACAATGGCAACATATCTGGAATAATGCGTCTAAGTTCACTAAATGCTACTTTGAAGAATAATATTCATTTGGATGTAGACATGTGAAGACACACTTTTCAAAGTTACATTATTTTGTTACAATATCTTTTATAGTAATAAAATCAATTGTATGTAGATATATATAGATATAGTAAAACCTGAGCTAATGCCTGAAAGTTTAGTTTGGCATGTGAAAGTTGAATTAACTCTTTTAGATCATAATTTGGTTAGTATATAAATTGTTCAGAGTTTTGTTCTTTCCCTATAACTGAGTATAACTTAGTGAAAAAGTCAGCTGCTAAGAGAGGCCCATTCATTTTTCTAGTAACTGGAAGAAATATAGCATCCTTTACTTCTAAATAAAGCATTGATTCAGGAAATAGAAAAGAAAAAGTTAATGTGAGAGAGGGATAGAGAAAAGGTAGAGAGAAGGAATAAAAATCAAAGAATAGCTCTAGCATAAAAGAATAAAAAGAATGGAAAAACAAATTTTAAAGTTGGTTGGGATTTTCAGTCCCAAAAGTGCCTCTGATGCAGAACACAGCCAGTGAAAATTTTTCTTTTGAGGCTAATGTAAACAGGAAGACATCTGCAGAAGAAATTAAAGAACTGGTTCTCTTTTCCTATCAGATCTTAGCTGATATGGGAACGTTGTGACTGCACTAAACTGTTAAAGTAAAGCAGAGAAGAGAGATCTTTATCTTCCTGAGATGTTCATTCTTGCCCTCACTTTAGGGTGGAGATAGAGCAATATTTTCTTGATGCCTCAAACATTTTAATATAATTTGAATTCATTCTTTCCTTCTGTGATTTCCCTTGTATTTCTCTGCATATACCAAGCAAAAAAAAAAAATTACTTCAATTATTTATCTATACATTAATGCCAGTGCAACAGAATCAAAAATAGTATTAGAATATCAGGAAGGCAGAGAAAAGTGAAATTTTCTGGATTATGACATTGTTACTAACAGCAGAAACATGGTATTTAGCTTATGACTTTCAAATCATTTTCTGTCCACTCTACTCTTCCCTATTACAATCTTTATGCAAATGTTTGGTACTATTTTGGAGAGGATAATAGAAATAGAAACATCTTATAGTTTCTCTGTGTCCTATATCTTCTAATATCCTTTTTGGCTTTTCTACATACTTTGACCTCTCTTTAATATGAAGAGATCATCATAAAATGATAATCATTTTCATAAGTTATTAGGTAGGTGATTTTGAAGCACACATCTCAGATTTTGATAGAAGCTGCTTTTATTAAAATTTACTTAATATTTCCCAAATATACTAGATACGTATTTAATATTATATCTAACTATATATCTTCCATTAAAAAAAAAAACTTAACATTCTTCTCTTTCAACAGGACTTTAGACTTTACCAAGTTATTCAGCTTAATTATGGACGTCAAAATGTTCTCTCTTTGGGGCGCCTGGGTGGGTCAGTTAGGCATCCAACTTCAGCTCAGGTCATGATCTCGCTGTTCATGGGTTCCAGCCCCATGTTGGGCTTTGTGCTGACAGCTAGCTCAGAGCCTGGAGCCTGCTTTGGATTCTGTCTCCCTCTCTCTCTGACCCTCCCCTGCTCATGCTGTCTCTGTCTCTCAGAATTTTTTTTTAAAAAGTTCTCTCTTTAAACTATTATTTTACATCCATTACTGCCAAAGCCAGGAGCCCTTTGACCCCAGGGACTAATAACCTATACAGGTCTTAGAGTATGTGGATGCCATTAAAGAAAAGGGCGGAGGTGTATATCTTTCATAGAGTCAGAATGTACATGAAGTGAGTTGGAGGGGGATTTAGAGATTGGGAAGGATGCATCTTAAGCTTTGTAAATCCTCAAATTGTGAATATCACAATGATATATAATTTTTCCCATAAAATGTTGAGAACAAGTAAGCTTCTTGACATGTGTTTACCAGGTAGTTGGGTAAGCTCACTCTAGAAAAGTACACCAGCATTGCCACAGATGGGGTTTGAGTTTGAAACTCAGTAACATTACAGCTTATTTTAGTAGTTGGAGGGTACTGAAACTCCTATTAAATTCATTAATGCAAGCACTAATTTGTTTGTTTTGTAATGAATAGATCACACCCACATTACTGCATGATTTTTGACATCAGACTTGGAGTGTATAAACTGTAATACATGAACACATTTAAAGTTTCTAAAATAATATTTAGAAATTGTGGCATTGGAGATGTTATGAAAATAATTGGGAATGTTTAACCTAATAAAGACTTGATGTAATAGCTTTCAAACAGTTTAGAAGATTGGCAAAAGTTCTTAATTTCTGCCAATCTAGAGGCTATGAAAGGCTATTTCAGTGAAATTACCTTAATTTGGATTTTCTAATTTCTAATAGAGTTGAGTATATTTCAGATATTTATTCTCTGCTTGTTTCTTCTGAGCAATTCTTGTTCATAAATAATATTTGCAAAGCTAAGCATGTCATTTTCCCCTTTTAGTGGCTTCTTAGCATATACAGGATAAAAGCCAAGTTCCTAAGCACTGATATAACACCTTCCATGTCTTCCCCCAATCGCCTTTTATGGTAATGTGCCTCTCTAGCCTCACCTCTCACTGTTGCTTGCCTCCCTCCAAATTCTCTACGAATTCAGAACTGCTATTTCATTCTCCATACTTTTGCTTATGCTGTTTCCTCTCTAGAAATCCTTACTATAACAAAGTGTTGGAATAGTGGGAAAAGACCTTGAGGATGTTCAGGTTATAAATGAGTAACTCACACCCCACAGAAGTTAAGAGGTGTGCTTAAATTTTTACTACCAGTTACTACCAGCACCTGCTGTGAGGCAAGGTTCCTTCCCAGAAGGGGTCAGTGACCTACTAAAAGTAGACATCTGGGGCACCTGGGTGGCTCAGTTGATTAAACGTCTGACTCTTGATTTAGTCTCAGGTCATGATTTCACGGTTTGTGAGTGTGAGCCCCATGTTGGGCTCTGTGCTGACAGCGCAAAGCCTGCTTGAGATGCTCTTTCTCACTCTCTGCCTCTCCCATATGCTTTCTCTCTCAAAAAAAAAAAAATAAATAAACATTTAAAAAATACTTTGGGGCACCTAGATGTCTCAGTTCAATGTCTGACTTTAGCTCAGGTCATGATTTTGTGGTTTGTGGGTTCAAGCCCCGCATTGAGCTCTGTGCTTACAGCTGAGCCTGGAGCCTGTTTCAGATTCTGTCTCTCTCTGTCTCTGATCCTCCGCTGCTCATGCACTCTCTCTCAAAAATA